AAAAAGGATAGATAGTTCATATTAAAATATGTTTTATGACCTGAAGATTTGTTATGCTATTTTATACTATATACTATATTAATTTTTAAATGGCAACCTATATTAAAAATTCTATAAATAGATCGAGTATTAGTTAAGATAAATATTAGTGCTGAAGTTTTTAATATTCGTCAATCTGTTTACGAGATATGCAACTTTTAAGTTTTGGTTGGAGGAGACTGCTCTCGTTAATACGCAGCGCACCGTACCGCCACACTAATGATACTCCACTACTCACTTCCAAATGCATTACCTGATATATTATAAAATTGTATTTTGCTTATTTTAGGCATTTGGGCAGCATTTTTAAAATTAAAGGGAATACAATATTAAAATGTTATTTTTGACTTACGATAATACGGGATATAATAATATAGTCGAAAAAGATATCCATATATTATAAGATAAAAGTAAGCTCAGCGTTTAATAATATGGTAACAGGAAATGTTCCGGGAAGGATATAGGGCATGTGAAAGCAAAAGAAATAGTGGTAAGAAGAAAATGGGAAAATCGCCACAAAACTTTGACCTTAACTCTATCTTCCCCTTCCCACCTATAATAGTGGCGCATCCGTCCACAGTATCAGCTCTTTTTTCTTATTTTCCTCTTTACTTTCAAATATTTGATTAAAAACACTATTCCCTCGGTTTATTTTATTTTATCCGCAAAATAATGTCATTCAGTAAGAAATCATTTATTCTAAAATTCTGCTTGATATAGTATTTTGGACATTTTTTTTATAAACTATTTAAAAGTGTATTTATTTCCAAATCACAGCATTGCCTTTCTGCATAAAATTGTTTATAGTTATTGTTTTAATTATAATTAAAATTTTATGGATGGTCATGATTTTATATAAAAGTAAAACACAGTTAATACTAGGTATGACTTTATCAGTTAATGGGGATTCGTTCAAAATTGCATTTTAATTGCAACGAACGATATCCAATATATACTTTCAAAATATCCCATCAACGACAGTGTCCTAATCTTGGTGCGAAGTATGTTCGATTTTTTTTTAAATGTGAATAGTATATGGCCAGAAATTCAATTTTCTTGTCTAAAAGCCACACTTTAAGCGTGAACCAACAAAAGTGTAATATAGAAACTGACATTTAAAAATTCGGCTTTTAAGTGTAATTTCATTATAAATACAAAAATATAATAATAATACATAACAATTTTGTAAAAATATTACCTATAAATTNTATTTTTTGATTTAACATACTCACTCGTCAATTATGTTTTTGTCAAACTGTGGTTTAATTTTCGTAACCAATTCCATAAGCCGAACTTTAATTATTGGTCTATCAAAGGCTTGACCTTTATCTTCCAACCACTTTTCAATATCTGCTTTCTTCCAACTGATATTTGGAATATTTTCACATTTAACAGAATGATAGGACGCGTTGTCCATTACGATGACACTGCCTTCCTTCAATAATGGAACAACGGTTTTAATCCAATCGAAAAAGGTATCGCCATTCATTTCGTCATGGTAGTCCATTGTATTTTTTTTTGAACGAAAACACAATATACCACCTGGAACGAAACCTTCTTCCGAACCAATATGAACAACAATCAATCTACTATCTTTACCGCTTGGGTTAGCAGCACCAGTTGAGAGACCTTTAAATGTTTTATTTGTACACTCTCCCGCATTGACCCAAGTCTCGTCTAAATAATATATTAACCGGCCTTCCTTTCGGAATTTACGAATTTGTTCCAGGTAACGATTCCTCCAACTAACAATGTCGTCCCTTTCGATCAGAGCACTGTTTCGCCCTCTCTTTGCATAAACAAAATTCATTTCTTTAAGAAGTCGGTGAAGTGTGCTTCGTGAATAATTTCCTAGGCCTGTATCATCGTTTACGGTCTTCAAAATTTTGTCAATCGTAGGCACCTCACGTCGAACCAAAAACTATGAACTTTTTGGCGTATAGCGTCTTTCTCAAAATCATCAGTTCTGTGTGTGATAAACAGTCGGATCTTTTTTTGTTAGGAGATTTTATTATACCTTCATTTTTGTAGTCGCAAATTGTCGATTGGACAGTATTTTTTCCTACACCAGTTTGTGATGAGATCATCAATGCCACTTCTTTTACTTTGAGGTTTGGTTACTCAACAATTATTGTTTTGTATAGATTAATGATCATCATTCTCTGACGGGAACCAATAAGCCAATAAAAACATTAAAAAAATACTTTGTTGTAAGCGTACTAAAATTGACATTGACCAAAAAGTATTTTTATTGCGTATCCAATTATTATATTTGAGTTCTAGGTAATTAAGAAAACTATAATACGTACAATAAAATATAGGTACTTATGTAAAAATAATTAAAAAAAAATTAGGATATCTACGTAGAATAAATATATAAAACAAACGCTTACCTTTCCTTTTGGGTTTCTTTTGACTGGAGAAACATCATTCACTGACTCGCCGTCATTCATTTTATAATAATTAAAAAAACGGAAAAAAAAAGTAAACGCTGTAAAAATGACGTGTGCGTACACCACGGCAATTGGCGATTAACAGTGGACTATCGACAGTCAACAGTGCATTATTTAAAACGCAGTGTACAACACCTGCACCACTTCTGCGGTCGCTATTGCAGCGCTGTCGATAGATCCGAGAGGGGATAAATGGATAGTGTTGCGGCGTGGGGATGCACTGTGGCGATTCGGTTTGGTCGGATATCGGCCCGTTCTCTCGTGAAGCAGACTATAATGAAAAGTGAATTATCAAGCTTCAATGAATTAAATCTTCTCTATCCTTAAATAGAATTTAAAAAAAGTTCTAAACAATGCAACGGATTTTGATCCGGTTTTCATTAGTGTAGCATTGCCCGAAGAAGGTTTTCAACTATTACCAAACCTTAAAATTCGTTTTATGGGTACTTTTGGTACAAAAATCTAATTATTTTTGTTGAAATATAGGTTATCTAGATAATATGGATGAAAACAATTGCTAATAATAATATACAGTATAAAATGAAATCACTTTCCGCGCCTATATATTTGTAGTATTTTATTATTTTGTTTCGATTATTACCTTTAAATATTATCCTTACTATCATTTACTCTTCCTTTTAGCATTCCATTAAGATACGAAGAAGCCGGTCAAATATATATCTTAACACCAGAAATAAAAAAGAAAACGTTTACGACTTAATGTTGAAACCGAAACAAAAAAGGAAATTAGGCTATCTAAAACAAGAAAATGTAATTATTTGAATAGAAATAGAGAAACGAATGTTGAAAACGAAGTTAGTTTTAACCATGTCAAAAATGGATCAACTGATTTAAAAATGATACCATGTCTATCAAAGACAGAGTATAAGGTTTCTAACAGAATAAAATATCAAGTAGTAATTAATATTTATATTTAATATGTGAAATAACTCAGTAAAAAATAAAATTTAAAAAAAAAACTAAAGTACTACAAAAGAGAAAGTTATCTGTCTAAATGTCAAGTCTCTAAGACTCTAAATAACAACAAAAATTAAAAAAACATTCTTTTCTTAAATTGTCCTGTCTTTTCTACATATTCCCAGTTTATTGTGACCAACAAAGTTGCTTAATATTAGAACCAAATCGATTTAAAATCTAATGGATACTATGTAATATTAAACATAAAAACTTATTATTATACGATCAATAAAATGACAAAAAAAATACAGTAACATTAATGAAAAAAGAAAACAAAATATAAAAGACTAATACAGTGTATTAGATTATCAAAAACAAAACATTATATTAGTTTTTTACTTGTGGATAGTGAATCATTAGAGAAGGTGTCTCAGAAGTTCCACAATTCTGGATAGCTATTTGGCGAGATTAAAATAAAGACAATTGATTGAGTAACCACTCTTAAATAATTGGATCTCGTTAAAGGATGTTTGGATTTAGGCAATTTAAAATATCAACATTGATTTGAAGAAATCTATTAAACCCTACTAAATAAAACGATCATAAAACGAAATAATCCATGTTGTTCACGGAAATTTTAATAGCTTGAGCAGATAAACATGATGAAATAGTAGGAAGTGGGGAATACCCAGAACTTGAAAAAGTTTGCAAATCCAGTAACTTTGGAAATAATGACTAGGTACCATCACTATAGTCAGAACGTTAAACACATGACACTACAATTAACCTTGTCATCGAAAAAAAAAATTTTATTAATGCAAATTTATTTTGTTTTTTAATATTTTATTGCATAATACAGTACATTTTCAAAATATTTCTTAGAAAAAATTTAAAACCAGAAATGTCATACGAGGAATTGTTCTCACTTTCGTTATCGCTCTCACACATCATCATACTTTACTAAAACAACTAAAACTGAAAACGCACGTGTTCGTTAGACTTCACGCTACTAACTAATACTAAAATCAGCTGATAATATCACATTGCAAGACAGCTTGAGCGCGCTGTGCATTACTTTTAGGACAACCCTCGTAATATTGGATGAAATTATATTTCTAAATATCACACTAATGCATTTGTGCAGTAAAGTATACTATATCATATGTCGTACATATTGAATTTATTAGATTATAATTTATGGATTAGAAGAAAAAACCGTTTCCCGATCAACGTGAAATAATGGACACTGTACATTCATCTACGACCTGCTCGCCTTATAAGCGATGTAGTCGCCAGTAACGTTGGAAATTATGACTAGGTACCGTCACTATAGTCAAAACGTTAAACACATGACACTACAATTAACGTTGTCATCGAAAAAACAAAATCTATTTATGCAAATTTATTTTGTTTTTTAATATTTTATTGCATAATACAGTACACTTTCAAAATATTTCTTAGAAAAGATTTAAAACCAGAAATGTCATACGACAACAATTTGTTTTAATACTTTTTTATTTATTTTACCTTTATATTATAAAGTATTACCGTATCCTTCAATAGATAAAAAATACAACAATGCTAAATGCAAATTAATCTCAGTCGCTACAGTAACTAGCGGGGGGAAATATTAGTTGACAAATGGCAAATTTCTTGAATAAAGCCGAGTGAGAAAAGCGAAGGATTCACGAATCGGAGTTTTATTTAAAAAACGGGTACCAATTATATAACTGTTAAGCATATAAAAGAATTATAGCTGTGTGTTTATTGCCGATTTTCTCGAGTTCCTCTTTCATAAAATGAGATAACTTTAAATAAAATTGAAAATTCGACGGAAAATCGGCTTGAAAATAACCTACGGTCCTCATAGTACCAGAAGAAGAAAATATGAGTTGACAAATAACAATTTTTTTTTAGTAAGGCCACTCGAGATAAGCGAATAATTTAACCCTGTGGTCAAAATTGATTCTAGTGGCAAGAAACTAAATTTTGCACATAATTATTTGACCAGATTAAAATAAAGACGTTAGGTTGAGGAAATACTCTTAAATAATTGGATATCCATAAAGGATGTTTAGATTAAGGCAACATGGAAAATCAACTTCGATTTAAAGAAATCTATTAACCACTTCTAAAAAAAAACAGATCAAAAAACGAAACAACGCATGTTTTTCAAAAAATTTTTGATAATTTGAGCAGAATAATCATGATGAAACAGTAGGAAGTGTGGAATACCCAGAACTTGAAAAAGTTTGCAAATCCAGTAACGTTGGAAATTATGACTAGGTACCGTCACTATAGTCAGAACGTTAAACACATAACACTACAATTAACCTTGTCATCGAAAAAACATAATTTATTTATGCAAATTTATTTTGTTTTTTAATATTTTATTGCATAATACAGTACATTTTCAAAATATTTCTTAGAAAAGATTTAAAACCAGAAATGTCATACGACAACAATTTGTTTTAATACTTTTTGATTTATTTTACCTTTATATTATAAAGTATTACCGTATCCTTCAATAGATAAAAAATACAACAATGCTAAATGCAAATTAATCTCAGTCGCTACAGTAACTAGCGGGGGGAAATATTAGTTGACAAATGGCAAATTTCTTGAATAAAGCCGAGTGAGAAAAGCGAAGGATTCACGAATCGGAGTTTTATTTAAAAAACGGGTACCAATTATATAACTGTTAAGCATATAAAAGAATTATAGCTGTGTGTTTATTGCCGATTTTCTCGAGTTCCTCTTTCATAAAATGAAATAACTTTAAATAAAATTGAAAATTCGACGGAAAATCGGCTTGAAAGTAACCTACGGTCCTCATAGTACCAGAAGAAGAAAATATGAGTTGACAAATAACAATTTTTTTTTAGTAAGGCCACTCGAGATAAGCGAATAATTTAACCCTGTGGTCAAAATTGATTCTAGTGGCAAGAAACTAAATTTTGCACATAATTATTTGACCAGATTAAAATAAAGACGTTAGGTTGAGGAAATACTCTTAAATAATTGGATATCCATAAAGGATGTTTAGATTAAGGCAACATGGAAAATCAACTTCGATTTAAAGAAATCTATTAACCACTTCTAAAAAAAAACAGATCAAAAAACGAAACAACGCATGTTTTTCAAAAAATTTTTGATAATTTGAGCAGAATAATCATGATGAAACAGTAGGAAGTGTGGAATACCCAGAACTTGAAAAAGTTTGCAAATCCAGTAACGTTGGAAATTATGACTAGGTACCGTCACTATAGTCAAAACGTTAAACACATGACACTACAATTAACGTTGTCATCGAAAAAACAAAATTTATTTATGCAAATTTATTTTGTTTTTAAATATTTTATTGCATAATACAGTACACTTT